TCAGAAAAATCAGAGCAAATTTATGTTCTGAGCGATATTTGTAAAGAAAAATCTGAGGTTGCATGTGGAGCAAAGTAGTAAAGTAGTAAAGTAGTAAAGGGGCTCTTACAAGACAATAATTTCAAAACAAACAAACAACACGAAACATATGGATCGTTATTACACACTGCGAAGGAGTAAAGAAAACAGTAGAGCACCTCTTCACTAGCAAGTGAAAGTGGGTATCTAGAAATTGCTAAAGTTCTCGATCGATGTACCAACGTGGATCATCAGGATAAAAAGAGTAGAGCACCTCTTCACTAGCAAGTGAAAATGGGTCCTTTTATTCCTTGCGTTAACTGATGAACAGTTTTCAGAAAAATCAAAGCAAATTTATGTTCTGAGCGATATTTGTAAAGAAAAATCTGAGGTTGCATGTGGAGCAAAGTAGTAAAGGGGTTCGTACAGAACAATAATTTCAAAACAAACAAAAACACGAAAAATATGGATCGTTATTACAAACTGCGAAGGAGTAAAGAAAAGAGTAGAGCACCTCTCCACTTAGCAAGTGAAAGTGGGTATCTAGAAATTGCTAAAGTTCTCGATCGATCTACCAATGTGGATCATCAGGATAAAAAGAATAGAGCACCTCTCCACTAGCAAGTGAAAGTGGGTATCTAGAAATTGCTAAAGTTCTCGATCGATGTACCAACGTGGATCATCAGGATAAAAAGAGTAGAGCACCTCTTCACTAAGCAAGTGGAAGTGGGTATCTAGAAATTGCTAAAGTTCTCGATCGATGTACCAATGTGGATCATCAGGATAAAAAGAATAGAGCATCTCTCCACTAGCAAGTGAAAGTGGGTATCTAGAAATTGTTAAAGTTCTCGATCGATGTATCAACGTGGATCATCAGGATAAAAATAATAGAGCACCTCTCCACTAGCAAGTGAAAGTGGGTATCTAGAAATTGCTAAAGTTCTTGATCGATGTATCAACGTGGATCATCAGGATAAAAAGAGTAGAGCACCTCTCCACTAAGCAAGTGAAAATGGCTCCTATTTTTCCTTGTGCTAACTGATGAACAGTTTTCAGAAAAATCAGAGCAAATTTATGTTCTGAGCGATATTTGTAAAGAAAAATCTGAGGTTGCATGTGGAGCAAAGTAGTAAAGTAGTAAAGTAGTAAAGGGGCTCTTACAAGACAATAATTTCAAAACAAACAAACAACACGAAACATATGGATCGTTATTACACACTGCGAAGGAGTAAAGAAAACAGTAGAGCACCTCTTCACTAGCAAGTGAAAGTGGGTATCTAGAAATTGCTAAAGTTCTCGATCGATGTACCAACGTGGATCATCAGGATAAAAAGAGTAGAGCACCTCTTCACTAGCAAGTGAAAATGGGTCCTTTTATTCCTTGCGTTAACTGATGAACAGTTTTCAGAAAAATCAAAGCAAATTTATGTTCTGAGCGATATTTGTAAAGAAAAATCTGAGGTTGCATGTGGAGCAAAGTAGTAAAGGGGTTCGTACAGAACAATAATTTCAAAACAAACAAAAACACGAAAAATATGGATCGTTATTACAAACTGCGAAGGAGTAAAGAAAAGAGTAGAGCACCTCTCCACTTAGCAAGTGAAAGTGGGTATCTAGAAATTGCTAAAGTTCTCGATCGATCTACCAATGTGGATCATCAGGATAAAAAGAATAGAGCACCTCTCCACTAGGAAGTGAAAGTGGGTATCTAGAAATTGCTAAAGTTCTCGATCGATGTACCAACGTGGATCATCAGGATAAAAAGAGTAGAGCACCTCTTCACTAGCAAGTGAAAATGGGTCCTATTTTTCCTTGTGCTAACTGATGAACAGTTTTCAGAAAAATCAGAGCAAATTAATGTTCTGAGCGATATTTGTAAAGAAAAATCTAAGGTTGCATGTGGAGCAAAGTAGTAAAGGGGCTCGTACAAAACAATAATTTCAAAACAAACAAAAACACGAAAAATATGGATCGTTATTACACACTGCGAAGGAGTAGAGAAAAGAGTAGAGCACCTCTCCACTTAGCAAGTGGAAGTGGGTATCTAGAAATTGCTAAAGTCCTCGATCGATCTACCAATGTGGATCATCGAAGGAGTAGAGAAAAGAGTAGAGCACCTCTCGACTAGCAAGTGAAAGTGGGTATCTAGAAATTGTTAAAGTTCTTGATCGATGTATCAACGAGTAGACTAAAAGAACTTTATGCTTAAAAATGCATCGGATTTACTTAAAAATTCAGTCTATTTTTGAATGCAAAAATGGTCTTGAATAGCTAGTTTTGCAACAAGTTACGAAATGAAGATTTTTTCAGCAAGAGTCGTAGTTTATCCGGCGGCACATGCTCATTGATGTTCGTTCGCTGTTGTCGTTGCCTCGTTGCAAGCAAAAAACTGGAGATGTTCGTTGAAATAAAACTGACGATTAGGATCAACTTCGCCCATGGCTCGGTGAACCCATCTTTGGATGAAATTGTAAACTTCGTGAAGGCACTGGACGCGGATCCCGTGAAGATGATCGCTACGTATCGCATTGCGGAGGAAAAATCTATGAAAAATCAGAAGATTCCATGCTTCATTGCTTGTTGAACAACCGTGAACAATTAACTTTTCATTATGCCGATGGAAAGTCGATCGAGGTACGCATCTCACCTGCTGGGGCACCGTTAAATACGTGAGAGTATACGACCTGCACGCAGAAGTCCCGAATAGCGACCTAGCGTTGGTGCTAGGGAGATACGGTGATGTGAAGCGTGTAGTTCGGGAGAAATTTCCAGCTGCCTTGGGCCTCGATATGCACACAGGTGTGCGGGGTCTATAAATAGATGAATATGGAAATGAAAGGAGATTCTCAACTCGCATTTCCTCAATTGTAAGGGAACATATTCTATGAATGAAACAACAATTTCTGTTTCCTTTGTAAGACGGAGCGGCATCGGATAAATTCCTGCCCCAAGTGGATGGATCTGAAGCAGTCAGTACAATAATGAACGGATGAGTACGTACGCTGATGTAGTGACTCGAGGTGCATCTTAAAATAAGGAAGTGGTTGAGGTCCTGGAAGAAAAGGCGGTGATTATGGATGTGACGTCCCCGGGCACCGAGCTAGTGGAGAGGAAGCAAACGCTGCTGAGAATCAGCAGCTGTCTGTTTACATGTAATAACACTCCGAATACGATGCCTCCGGTAAAATGTGTAACGACAAACTTGCAATGTTTGAAAAATGATAGCTCAGCCATTTATTGACGAATTTCAAATCTTTTGACTCCGTTTGAATCTTCATACTTTAAAGATTTATTCAGTATCAATAGATTTCAAAGCTGTCGATAAATTGCTGAGCAATGATTTTTCAAACATTGTAAATTTGCCGTTACACGTTTTACCGGAGGCATCGTGTTCGCAGTGTTAAAATGATGCGTATTACTACACCCAGCAATGGAATGTAAGGTTTGCTTAAGGAGAGATTCATCATCGCAGGATGTTAGTGGAGAGCGCATGAACGGAGGATGAGATACACCAAGCTGTAGTCCAATGCAAGAAAATGGAGAGAGAGAGAGTGAGATTAATCATGCAAAAACAAAATGTATATAGAAAATGAATGTCGACAAGACTCGAGCCACGAACGTTGCCATATCAGACCTGTGCTTTCTCCACTGCTCTCTCCATGCTTTGAAAAATATAAATAGCCTAAAAACGAATAAGAAGTGCTCATTTGATCTCATACTCGTTTTCGTATGCTTTTTTTGCTGAACGGGAATTGGAGAGAATTGTGGCAAGCGTGTGCGTCGATCAACAATGTTATAGATAAAATGTTTGCTGGTATAGTCGAAAGTGTAGACAGAATACGAAATGAAAAATGTAAACAATCATTACATCGTCTGCAAGGTCAACTTATATCATTCGCTGTTGAAGATACGGATGACAGTGGAAGCCAAACTCAAGTCACCTCCAAGGAAGAGTAAGAAGAACTCATAAACAATGTCTCCCATTAATATTTTGATGTGATTATAAAACTATTCAATGGTTCTCGGCTCCGTGGAGTCCTTTTGGACATTTGAGTCTAACAAATAAACTGATTGGAAAATGTTATAATTTCAAAATTTATATAACATGTAATTCTATGGAATTTTTCATTAGAATTACCCCAAGATGTCTTTAGAGTTGCTTTCCGAATTCTCCAGATTCGTTTGTTATTAGATCTGGCATTCTCTTGAAATTTTCGCCCATAACAATCTTAGAAATTCTCTACATAGGGGAAGTGGCTCTTATATTGGACCCATCTGTTCAAATCTCCTGTTCTAATTTATTTTTGTCAAAAAATGCTTCATTCAGTGTCAAAAAATGCTTTCCTTTGAAATTTATGTTTGGACCCAATATTAGGGACATTTAGGCCAACAGAAATCCTTCTAAGAAATTCTTAGAATTTACTCTACAATTATTTCAGTATTCTCAATAATTCTCACGATAATTCCTTTAAAATGCTCTCCATAATTCTCGCTAAAAGCTACTCAATATGCTTTAAAATATTCATAAGAAATTCCATGAAATTCATATCAGAGTTGTCTTGTAAATAAAAACAGAACTAGGCGTTTGGAAATTTTTTATTTTTTTTCCAGGTAATCCCTATAAAATTTAGCTTAGGATTTCAAAGCATCCTCTTGGAATTCCCTTTAAATTCTCCTCATAATTTCTTTGGATTTCGTATAAAGTTCACGTTAGAAGTTCCTTGCAATTCTCTTCTGAAATCATTTTAAAACTGCGTATTTTGATCTCACAAGGAGTGTAATCTGAAATAATAATAATCTATATGTTAAACAACATTTTTAGTATCATCATACTGTAGTAGACCATGTTTAAGACTTTCATTAAATCCATTCCATTCGATTTCCATTTGCATATAAAACATTATATAATTATATGTGCGGATGGGGAGAGTGGGAATGCCAACTCCCTGTTTTTAACATTTCGTGAATACAGGGTGGGCTCTTCTCCCCACTCATTGCGGCATCCTCCTGTTGGATGGCTTGTTTTTTGACCAGTTGTATGATTCTGCTGTTGGAATGAAAACAAAAAATCAGAACACTTTGTCAAAAAATTTGCAAAAACTTCGTGAAGAAACAAGGGAGTGAAATTGGGCAGATACATGCGAGGAAGATTCCCGTTGCCGTAAATAAAAATCCTGCAAGTTTAAGTTAAATTTGTGCAGGAATAATTTTTATTGTGCTTGCATATATCACACTACGCAGTAGAGAGTATGAGTATGATGGTTCATCCTTAATACAATGCAATAGTTTCAACAGATTAGACATGTTCATGGTTTCACTGAAGTTCAGACTTATTCTTATTCCCTCTTACTTCATACTCGGCACTTTTTTTTCATCGGCTGCAAACATTACGTCATATTTTCCTATCCTTTTGCGGAGAAAACATAACCTTTCCTTCTAAACTTACCGTTAATGGACTAGACGATTATCAATTATTTCTCGTTTTATGTTATGGCTACAGGGACGGAATAAACACTGCTTTGAGAAAGGCACCAACAATCGTTGTGGATTTGGATTACATTCTACAGATTCAAAAAAATTTCGCATCCAATAATCAACAGCCTTACAAGAAGCCATGTTCGTTAAGAAACTCGTCGCTGATTTCCTGCTCGTTGATGTTGATCAAATTGCCAAAGTCCTGCTCGTCAAAGTTGCCCATATCGGGAAGAAAGTACGGAATCGTTTCGACAATCACATTTGGGCCGGTCTGCACCGTCTGTTGACCGTTGGTACCGAAGAACGGTACCACGATGTCGTCGTTGGCCGGTTGGGGAATCTCGTTGTCTGAAAAGATCTGCTCAAAATAAAAATGATATTCGTTTGAATTTGGAAGTACTGGTTAGGGCGTGGAGTTTCCTACCTCATCAACGCTAAGATTGGTGAAAATGTTGGTTCCATTTTCCGCATTGATAATCGAATCGAAATTAATGTTGCAGTTCTCCACCAGGGGGGTGGATCGAATCAGTTGGTCATCGTTGACCGGCATGGCGGGCGATTCACTGACGGTAGACGTTTGATCAACATCTACGCAACCCGAATCGGCATTGCTGACATTGTCCATGCTGTCGATGGTGACATTGTGAACGATGTGATCATCCTCCATGATGATGTGTTCGGCACTGGTTTCCGTGTAGCAAACGGTAGTAGTTTGACTGTCGTTGTTGTTTCCATCAACGCTGCTTGGAGCAGGCTTCGCACTGCAGTCGGTGAACGACGTTTCACCGTTGTTCTCTGTCGTCTTGCGTTGTCTGTTTCGACTGCGAATCGAAGACCCGGCCGAGTTACCTCGATTGCGCTGTCGAATTCTGATTCGCTTCCTTTCGCTTTTCGACACATCCATCGAGAGTTCCCAGTAGCCTCCCTTGCCTTTCTCATCTTTGGCGCGCGATACTTTGGTGAAGTAGAAACTCAGCGAGAGATTATGGCGGATGGAATTCTAATTGAAAAAGGGAAGTTATTTATTTGCATAGATAATTTGGCCAGGATACTCACATTCCAATTTTTGTGCATCTTGTAGTAGGCAAATTTTTCCTGTATCCACTTGCAGATTTGTTTCAAGGTCATGCGACCCTCTTCGAGCATGGCCATTGCAATGATTTGCGCATAGTTGAAGGGTGGCTTTTCCACGGCGTTCGAAAGTGAAGTGTACTGCTCCTTGCGTTTGTCGTACGACTCGCGGCTCCTGCAATCAGTGGAACGATGATGTTGCGTGATAGAACGCAATTAGGATCTAATCACCTACCTTCGCACCTGGGCGATGAATTTATTGAAACGCGCCGTCGGCAGATCCGTTAGCGGGATATCCGACGGCGTCAGGTTGGTAATGTTTTTGAGCTCCGTCAGCCACGAGAGGTTAGTCAACTCCGGTTCGGAGTCGTCTTCCTCCTCAGCTTCCATCATGTCTTCGGTCAGTTCGCAGTCTTCCTGAATGCTAGTGTTGGCAAGAGATTCGTTGCAGACCACACTGCCACCGCTGCTGGCGGTGGTGGTGGTGCTGCTGCTGCTGCTGGCCTCTTCGTAATGATGTTGATGTTGAAGGATCGAGTCCGCTGTGGAAGGAGACTCGGGTGGAGCACCGTCAGGTGGCACCGTTTCGACGTTGATCGAAACTGTACCATTTAGATCGATGGTACCTTCGGCTAGAGCTGTGGTGGCGGGAGTTAGCGGAATGGAGTTGTGACCGTTTAGGACGTAATTGTAGGCTGTAGAATGGGAGATAAATGGGATATATTTACATTTTGAATAGAGATGAGATAGAGGGCATATGGGAATGGCGATTAATAAAATAATTGTGGAACCATTATTACTAATGGGGGTACCTAAGCACAGTAATTCTGCAAGAAATTGCAAAGTAAATATTGGGTTTTGCTGAATTGCTCCGTGGACAACATTGGACATGGCAAAATTCAGTCACTATCGAAATTTGGTTTATTTAATTCTTAAACAAATTTTGATTTTTTGAAGATTTTTTTTCACAGAATCAAATATTTGTTGTATGAACATAAATTGCAATAAACAAATTCAATATAAATTTTGTGATTTATCTTGCGAATTTTAGAATATTCATTTGAGTAAAAATGTTCTAAGGCTAATGCTTCAAAAAACTTTTTTAACTATTTATTTTATTTTAACAGATTTGAAAAGATCCCTGTTTGCTGAGGATAAACATTTTTACAAGAATTTAATTGAATTGAAATGGTAAATTTAGACTGAACTTATCACGATCTTTAACTTAATTGGTTGCCACTATAAACATATATAAAAATACAGTTTCGCGTGAGATTCCAGAGCTTCAAGTGAAAAACAGGCAAAATTTCTAGCAAAATTGATAACATTTGCTCAGGCATTTATAATGAAATCGATCACTTCTTTCGAATCAGATTTTCCAGCGAAAATCGCAATTAACCTCATTTTCCACAACAACATTTCACAACTTCCAACGAAGCGAATCACAACTTTGCACTAATTTAAACGAAAATGAACACCGTTTTTATAAGCAGTGGACACAATTTCCATGTAAACCAATAATTTTAGTTAATTTTTTTATTTTTAAAATTAATCTATTTGATAAGGCTCAATCGAATTAAGTCTACAGAGCAGAGGATTCTTGTTCACTTTATAATACATCTCAAAACTATAGTCAAAAGATACAACACAATAAACATTTTATCTTCCGCTATCCAATAAGCTTCCCCCACCAGAACGGGAGCCGTTTCCAGTGGTTTCATTATATGGCAGATTAGCCAACGGGGGTCAGAGCGCTTCTATTGCAGCAATGGACGCAAAACGTGGTCAGCACTCACACATTCATCACGAAACGGTTGCTTTCCAAAGTCGACGACGCATCGACAGAAAGAACTGCTGTTGAAGAACAATGAGGAGGACCACACAATGGTTGCTGCCGAGTAAACAGACGATTGCGTGACACACATCGAGAGTGGCCTGCTTCTGTCGACAGCCGAGTGAAAACTGTGACAATTAAATATAGAACAACTGTTTATGAGATTAATTATTTTATTTTAAATAAATTGACTTGTGGCTTCGGCTTTCAATGAAATGGATCCCAAAATTTTACGAAATTGTCCCTAACTTTCAATGTAATTGTACTCATAATTAAAAAAAAAAAAGTATGGGCAGGTATATCAACACAAATAATTGCTACTTCTGTTGTTTAAAAGAAATTGGTCTGAAGCTCAATCATAATTGGTCTAAAGTGCTAATGCTTTTTTTTTCAAGATTTAAAAATTATACGAACTTTGACTTTGGTTTCAATCAAGAAAACAAAATGTTGTTTTAAAAATTTATTTACCTTACAAAAAAAGTACATTTGACAAAATTTAGCTAATTTTACCCCTTATTCAATTTATTATCGCATTATGAATCTATAAAGTATTGAAAATACTGTATTTGATTGGCGTAGAAGCGTGGGTTTTTCATTTGTTTTTCAGTTAAAATGAGCCAAAATTTTGAAGAGGAATTTCTAATCAACTGCACAATACTTCAAAACATAAAATTTGGCAAAAAGATTGATTTGGTTCCATGAGTCATTAGCAACAATGACTAAATCGCTGATAACAGATGACGATCTTGAGCTCTTGATCCGTCTGAAAAATGTCCGTAGGAGGCAATATCAAAGAACACGCGATCCTGCCATGAAAGTTATCTGGCAGGATTTGCAAAAAAAAAAAATAAAATGCGATTCTCTACCCTGAGGAACAAAACTTTTGAAAATAATGTTTCAAAATTAGACCCGAGTTCCAAACTCTTTTGGAAGCCCACAAAAATTTTTACCCAACCCCCTATTACAGCACTTAACGAGGTAAAATTTTGATCTCAACTGCGGAAAAGCTCAGAAACTTGCTAAGCAATTCGAGAGTTCCCATAATTTTGGGTCTTACTAGTCCTATTGATAATCAGGTTGCTAGGGATTATCTGAATATTTTCTCTCGGGAAAATATCTTTGATGATTCCTGGGGGACTGATTTGGACGAAGTATTCTATATCCTCATGAAAAAAACTCCCAGAAAGAACCTTGTCTTTCTTGGTAAAACTCTTTGACACATGTTGCCATTTGGCATACTTTCCTGATAAATGGAAAATGCGAAAGCTGTTCCAATTTTGAAGCCGCATAAGAATCCAGCTGAAGCTTCCAGCTACCGTCCAATAAGTTTGCTTTCATCAAAAATTAAACTGCTGCTTCACATTAATATGAACTAAATTTTTGCAGATGAACAGTTTGGATTTATTGGCAACACTATGACTCAATTGCAAGTTTTAAACCCTATTCTACCTAGGATTAAAGGTTTGTGAAAGATTCACAAACCAGGAAACGAAAGGATGCATAAGCTTGCCAAATGGCTAGTAAAGGAACTTCATAATATGCCTAGCTCCTTTGTCACTCGTACACAGGAATTCGCGAATCAACTTCAGGCATCAGGAGAGATTCGGGAAGATGAAGTCATGGTTTCATTTGATGTCACAGAGCTTTTTCCGAATGTACCAGTAAAGGAAGCCATCTGCGTTTTAGAGGACTGGATTTTAAAGCAACGGGAGGATTCTACTTGGAAAACAAAGGTCGGTCATACCTTAAGCTGACTCGCCTTTATATGGAGGAAATTATTTCAGTTTCAGAGGAAATTTTTATAAACAAACTGAAGGTGCTCCTATGTGCAATCCGCTTTCTCCATTTTTATGTGAATTGTTCATGGCTAACCTTGAAAATATTCTGGAGGATAGGAAGTTGGTATAGATATGTGCAGGGCTGGAAAGCACCTCAGAGCGTTAGCAAAGCAACTTTGTGCATGCATCTCACAACACTCGACAAAGAGTGTGTGTGGTTCTCCCATTTACTTCGCACACTCTTTTCCAACTAATCTGTGAGAAAGTGATCCACACAATGAGCGGTACACTCCGTGCGGCACAGGGAGCGAATATAATACAACAAGCGCCAATGTCTTCTTCGAATTCTTTGCAGACTTTGCTTACCCCGAGAAGAATTTTGTCTTTTTGCTGTGTTTTCCATTTGCAACCCTACACTGAGTGGCGCTCTTTGCGGTGGAGCCGTCGGAGCGATGGCTACACATTGAGCTTTCGTTATTTATGGGTGTGTGTGTCTGTATTCTCTTTCCGCTGCTTTACACTTGCGCAGGGTGAAAGACAAGCAAACTTTGTGTTTGCTTGATTCTCACTTTGTTTATTTCAGAAAATCAGTACATTGCGTGCATTGAGTGATCAGATATAAAATATAATCGAAGAAATGATCATAAACACGCAGTGAGCATTAAATTGTCATGGTAATGACATGATCAGTAATGTGAATCTCTACTACTTTTTGGTAAGATAATTTGACAAAATCACTTATAACGGGTGTTCAATAAAAAATGAGAATTTTTTCAGTCACCATTATTTACTACAGCCGCTATTTTTTTTCTCATTAGAAGTCATTTGAAGTTGATGTAGAAGTCCTCTGTTGCCAAGTGAAAATAAAGGGAATCTTTCGAAAACCGTGATGCAGGTTCAACTGTTTTTCTCTTGGTGTGACTCATAGAGATTGCTTAAGTATGATTGTGTCAGTGATTTGTTTTCATCGGGAAAATTTTCCGCTATGGAGTTATTTTTTCGATGAAAACATTTTGCGTATACTTATACGTGACGTAGTGTGCGTACGATAAACATCAGCAATCTCTATTATACACCGACCCTAGTCTAATCATAACAAGTAAGTGTGAGTAGGACGAACGGAATACGGAACCAAAAAATGAAGAAACAGAAAATAGCATCTCCGCTAGGAGACAGACAGAGAAAGTCGATTTATCGTAAAAAAACACATCCGTTTGGATTGAAGTTTCAAAACGCATCGCGTTCGATCAAATTGACTGACTACACGGAAAACAAAACATAGGTATTAAAAATTTGTCAAGATAACTTAAAATCTGTGATTATCGGTAGGAAAAGTGAAAAATCTGTAGATTTGAACCTTTCGTCTGTGAATCGGTATGCATCCCGAAAATCGGTAGGACTACCGATAAATCGGTAGGTATGGTTACCCTGGGAACACATTGCAGTGGAAAAAAAGGCTATCAAAGAGATAGATAAAGGACTTCATTATGAATTTAAATCCAAGGTTGTAGAACATATGTTTACAAAGGGGCACAATTTGACAAAGAATAATATTGATATCCTGCGCAGTTAGTTCAACATTATTTAACTGAGGTAAAGTATAAATATTCCAAATCTGTACGACTACCTGTTAGAGCTGGAGTTCCTCAGTCTTGGGCCTATATTGCCTCCCTGATTTGCCTCAGGTTTTCCACAAATCTTTGTTCGCCGATGACACAGGTATTTCCGCTAAAGGAAGAAGTATTCGTATTATTTGCAGAATACTGCAGAAAAGCATAGATATTTTCTCTTTTTATTTACAAAAATGGAAGATTTCTCTCAACGCTTCCAAAACTCAACTTATAATATTTCCACATAAGCTTCCTTTTGAAATCTACTAGTAGTCATATAGTCACTAAGAACGGAGTTCCAAATTCTTGGTCATATCAAGTGTAATATCTTGGATTAGTACTTGACCATGGTATGGATAATTAACTTTAAATATCACATTGAGGGCATTCAAGCCTAATGTAAAAAAATATGTTAAATATTTGTATACGTTTATAAAGAACGCTGTTACAAGATTTTCAAAATTTGATCCGCTAAATCTACGATTTCTCAAAAGAAAACCGTGACTTCAAATACAAATCCGCGACAACTAAAAAAATATTTTCATTGATCAAAAATACCATTGAATCACTAACGGCGTCTGTTCTCCATGTTAGGAGTGGCTGATTACCGCCCTGTTGCCAGCTTGGGACTCTAAATAGAGCTGTGCAGGCCCTACAAGCCAACCGTAAAACTCCAAAAATACAGGAAGCAAACAATGTAAATACGGACCGGTACAATCGGCATAGACCCAGGCAACGAATGCGGACTAGCGATTGGAAACTCAGAACATGGAACTGTAAGTCTCTCAATTTCTTGGGAAGTAGCCGCATTCTGTCCGACTTATTGAAGGTCTGCAAGTTCGACATTGTAGCGCTGCAGGAGGTTTGCTGAAAGGTATGGCTATACCATCTACCAGAGCTGCGGCAACACACATGAGCTGGGTACAGCTTTTATCGTGATGGGTGAAATGCAAAAGCGCGTGATTGGGTGGTGGCCAATCGACAACAGAACGTGAAAGTTGAGGATCAAAGGCCGTTTCTTCAATGTTAGCATAATAAACGTGCTTAGCCCTCACCTAGGAAGTGACGATGATGATAAAGACGCTTTTTACGCGCAGCTGAAACGAGTATACGATAGCTGCCCATACCATGACGTCAACATCGTTATCGGAGATCTAAACGCTCAAGTTGGCCAGGAGGAGGAATTTAGATCGGTTATCGGAAAGTTCAGCGCTCACCAGTTTACGAACGACAACGGCCTCAGACTCATAGATTTCGCCACCTCCAAGAATATGGCCATATGTAGTACCTATTTTCAGCCCAGCCTCCCATATCGGTACACCTGGAGAACACCACTACAGACAGAATCACAAATTGATCACGTTTTGATTGATGAAAGACACTTCTCGGATATCATCGATGTCAGGACCTATCGCGGCGCAAACATCGATTCGGACCACTACCTTGTAATGGTAAAAGTGCGCCAAAGACTTTCCGTTGTCAACAACATTCGGTACCGACGCCCGCCACGGTACAATCTGGAACGCGCAAAACCTTGAAGCAGCGCTCCTCTTGAGGACTACTGGGATAGTGTCAAAGCAGCCATTAACAGCGCAGCAGAAGGTGCCGTTGGGTTTGTGGAATGGAATCGACAAAACAATTGGTTAAACGATTTTAAACGAGAAGAATGCAGCACGGGTGATGATGCTGCAGCAAGGTACCCGTCAAAATGTGGAGCGATATAAACAGAAGCGAAGACAGCCAACTTATCTTTTCTGGGATAAGAAGCGTCGCCTGGAAGAGGCAGAGTGCGAAGAAATGGAACAGCTGTATCGTTCACAACAGACCCGCAAGCTCTACAAGAAACTCAACGGAACCCGCAAAGGCTTTGTGGCGCGAGCCGAAATGTGTCGGGATAAAGATTGAGGTATCTTGACGGACGAACGTGAGGTGATCGATAGGTGGAAGCAGCACTACGATGAACACTTTAATGGCACAGAGGCGGAGAGCCAAGACAGCATAAGGAACGGCTTCATCGGTGCGGCGGACGAAGTACAAGTAGCAACTCCCACGATAAGTGAAGTTAAGGATGCTATCAAACTACTAAAAAACAACAAGGCAGCTGGGAAGGATGGTATCGGAGCGGAACTTATCAAAATTGGCCCGGAAAAGATATGCAAGAAGGGTGACAAGTTAGAATGTGAGAACTAACGAGCGATCACCATTCTCAACGCAGCCTACAAAGTGCTTTCCCAGATAGTAGATTTGAGGGAAGTTACCAAGCTGGTTTTGTGGACGGACACACCAAATCTTCCTTCAAAAATGTCGCGAATATCAACTTTCTACAAACCACCTATTCATCGATTTAAAGTCGCTTACGATACTATTGAACGAGAACAGCTACGGAATGTTATGAACGACAACGGGAAACTGACGAGACTGATCAAGACTACGATGGATGGTGTACAGTGCTGCGTGAAGATATCGGGTGCGCTATCCGACCCGTTTGAAACACGCAAAGGACTTCGACAAGGCGATGGCCTTTCCTGTCTCCTGTTTTACATTGCTCTAGAAGGTGTTATGAAACGTTCGGGCTTTAACATGCGGGGCACGATCGTCAATGAGTCCAGCCATTTAATCTGCTTCGCTGACGACGTGGACATTGTCAGAAGAATGTTTCAGGCTGTGGCGGACCAGTACACCAGGCTGAAACGTGAAGCAGAAAAGGTTGGATTAAAGGTGAATACGTCAAAGACAAAGTATCTGTTAGCTGGAGGAACCGAGCGCGACAATAGACGGAGATGAGTTCGTTGTGGTGGATGAATCTGTGTACCTGGTGACGTCAAATAACAACTGCAGTAGAGAAATTCGGAGACGTGAAAGTCGTGCCTACTACGGACTCCATCAGACCCTAAGGTCGGGTAAACTTCATCTCCGCACTAAGTGTACCATGTTCAAGACGCTGATACGCCCGGTAGGGTAGAGCGCTACTTCGTCGTAATCGCCCATTTCCGTTCTATCGATCAGAAAAGATCAATAATATCAATGATTTCACCGTGCACAAATCAATAATAGGTTTTTTCCGATGCGTTAGTTCATTAGCTACAACATAAATCCTGTTAGAGCGCATTGTATGAATATTTATGCTCATTGTTCTCAAAACAAAAGAAGCGCTCCTAGCGAGTCCCCTTTTTCTACGTTTATCCGTAGGACGAAGAAAATCTATTGGCGTTTCAATGCGTTAGGACGGAATTGAAACTCGTAGAACGAATTTAGAATCAAGAAGCAGTGTTAGATTTTAGACAATATCTCAACAATTTGTGACTCTTTATGGAAAGGTGAATAAATTTGCATGTCATTTTTGATAGAAATATTCAATTTTTTGTTTAAACTCGTTCAGAAAAGAGAGGTAAAGCGCGGGTTGTGCTTAGTAGGACGGAAATTAGATCAAAACCCTAGTACTCTACGGGCATGAGACATGAACGATGCTCGAGGAGGACCGGCAAGCACTGGGAGTTGGAGTTTTCAAACGACGCGTGCTTAGGACCATCTTTGGCGGGGTATGTGTAAGCGTTGTTTGGAGGAGAAGAATGAACCACGAGCTGGCGCAACTCTATGGTGAACCCAGCGTGCTAGGCTGTTTGGACCAAGTGGAGCAAGATCTAGGAAGTGTGGGACGCTCGAGGAGTTGGAGACAAGTAGCCAGGAATCGAGTTATTTAGCGCAACATTGTTATGCAGGTCAATCCTGAGGGACGTCGAACCAGCAAAAGTAAGCAATAGATTGCAAATTACCTTGAAAATGATTAACATCCAAATCTCAATAAAAAATAGGGTACATGCCAACGAATTACAATACAATACATTTAATTTGATTAGAGGCAAATCTCTTAGGATTTCTAAGGAGTATTCCAAGAGTTTTCCGGTGAAAATTCAAAAGAGAGTTCCAAGGAAATTTTGAAGAGCATTTCAAAGAATTAATTATTAATTATGGTAATTTCATGGGAATTTCAGGAGAATACTAAGTGCATGCTGAGGAGAACTTCAATTGTTTTTTTAAGTGTGTTTTTCGGGGAATTACTAGTATTATCAATAATATGAAGAGCATTGCAAAGTGAATTCAGAGCGTGTTCTGAAGAAGATTTTCAAAAGTATTATCAACAATCAATACGAAACTAACGATTTTAAATTAGCGCATTACTTGACTAGCCCATTGGTCACAAGTACATCTATAAGCGTACTCTATTCTCGTACTAGAATCTGTCAAAGTTTGTGTTTGTATTGATTCGCCTTTTATGATCGACAGAGTTTAATGAGGGATTCGTGGATTTTCTTATGTTTCAAGGGTTGCTTCAATTAGCTTGGGATCGAAGGTCTGGTACTTCCTGAGCCAACAGATTGAGCATGTTTCTTCGGGACCCTATGGTCTTAGTGTTGGTCTATGGTATTATGAAATCATAAGAGAATTATTATTTTTTCCATAAAAAAAATTAGAGATGCTATAAAACGATCAAGATTTAACGTTTGGGAAAAGTGGAAATTCTAAGATTTGAATGTTATATGATCCTGTATTCAGAAAAATCTTCAAGATTCAGGGTACTTTATTTAAAATTACATATTCCGGATATGGAGGGGAGAATTAGAGACAATATTAGAGGGAGCGATTAATGAGAAGTTTTCCAGTTCCAAAACTAGCAAAAAAAGAAAACATACGTAAATAAGTTAACAAATCAATCAACTAGGTTTTGAACTGGTTTAAACAATAAATTATTTGAAAATAAACTTCAAGCGAAGAAAATATTTACATATTACTGAAAATCATGATCAATTTGCCCCCGGTTTACGATACTTCAATTTAATTACATAAATGCACACAAGAAGATGACGGGCTCAGAAAATTTGAAATTATATTGGTAGATAAACAACAGAGACACATAATTAATAATGACATCAAGATTTGAGATGGTTCCATTGTTCTGAAACTTACTGATTTGTTACATGTCTTCAACATCAGTTAGGTAAGCTTTGACAGTGGTGTGGAAATGATGCTGCATTTCTTTGCATAATCTTTAATGTGCATCTCAATGATGATACTGATGACACTCCTTTAATGTGCATAATATTAAACAAAAGTTTACAATAATTTTTGGAACTGTGTAGCTGCAGGATCCATTGATATTGATACAATATGAAGGTCGAAACTTCACACCACATTTAATTCAATGCTTTTGACCGACCATATTTAATCGTGTACAGCACATGCAGAATGCGCAGATCATTCATATAAGAACTCATCCATGTTTTTCGTTAAGTTCAAACATTCCTGACAAAATGGATCCGCTGGAACTACTTCTACCAGACGACCAGCTCGAACTCGCCTTCTCTTCATTGATTGACCATGTTTGTAAGTGCCCATGAATGCTGAGATCGAATCTCAATTTAGTTAGCATTTGTTTTACATTCTCGCAGTCCTAACATACGTCGTGGAGACGTACGCCGTGTGTATTCTTCTAAGCAGATATTCCAACTCTTCCCTGATTAATCGCATCAAGATTTCATCGAATCAACCCGTTATTGCAATGACCCTGAACACCGAAGCCCGGTACGACCCTCAGCTTACCCGGAACATCGATTTGGGCTGCCATGCTTTCATCATGGATCAAACAAATGCTCACTTTTTCCTGGATTCGTTCAACATCACCCACGATTATGCGTTCATCAGAAATCCGAACAAAACCGTAATTGTGGTGCAGGACCCCAACCATGCCGATCCGGATCCCGACTTTTTCGATAACATACGAACACATCCCGCGGTGCAGGAAATTCCTCGTCTGCTACTGATTGATTCTCGCCACGGTGACAACGAGATCGATCTGTGGACCCATGGGTTTAAATCGTCACCCGAAGAAGCGGAGCAGTTGATCTACCTGGATTCGTATTTTGTGCGGAATGAATCATTCCTGCTGGGAAGTGATCTCTTTCCGGATAAGACGCTGAACATGGAACGGAGGATGTTCCGGTTGGCCAGCTTTCGATTGATTCCACATTTCATATTCGTGCCAATCTACGATGAACCGTGGATTGCCAAGTACGAAAATCAGACCGTACGCATCGACGGCGTGGGTGGGCTAGTGATGGTTGAATTCTGTCGAAAGTACAACTGCACGTGGGATCTTCAGATCGGTTAGTTTTGAACGAATTATTTGCAGCTAAAGAAGGCTTAATTGGTGGTATTTTAGATCAAGCTGGTGAATGGGGTTTGATCTACGACAATTGGACTGGTGATGGTATTATTGGAGCAATAGCTGAACGCCGAGCGGATGTGGGCATCGGATCTCTTTTGACCTGGCAGAGCGTTCACAAGTTTCTTGGTTTTACCGCTACTATTCGAAAGGTCGGAATTTGCGGTTTAGCTCCTCGTCCTCGGTAGGTTATTCAGGTCGATGTTGAAATTAATACAATTTATGACTATTTTTTTTAGTTTAATACCATCATGGCAAACGGTCGCACTCGCATTCAAGCCAGAGGTCTGGATTAGTATAGCGATCAGTATTGTGTGTTGTATCGGAACGTATGTTCTGTTGTCATATTTTGAGACTCATGTCGTATCACGGGGCACAGGTTGGAATGTCATGAACGTGACTGCGATTTTTCTGTTTCAAGCTGCAAAAATACTCTACCGAACTATCCCGGAGTGTATTCTGTCCGTTGCTTTGATTGCTTTCACAATCAATGTAGGCAACATATTCGTTGGAAAGAATGCTAGTCTTCGCACTTTTCCCCTATTTGAAGCGCCAATTGATACCTATGAGGATATAGCCGACAGGGATATCATTTGGACTCAAACCCACGAGGCCTGGATACATTCCTTGTTATTGACGCAGAATGTAATTTGCTAGCAATATTCAGTAGAAATTGTAGTGTGACTCTAATCTTTTTTTTTTCTGTAACAGCCCACCCTTCGGAAAGTGGTTAACAATTTCAGAATCTACACCGTACCGAAACTCCTAGCGTTAGCCAATCAGGGTGAAGTTGCCTTCGGAGTTAGCAAGCTCAACTACGGTCACTACATGATTGGAACGTTCATCACGGCTGGAAATGTCCGCCTCTATCGTCTGATGAAAGAAGACCTGTACTTTGAGTACGAAGTATCGATGACCACCAAAACATGGCCCTTAAAGGATCGCCTCTCGGATTTGATACTACGCATCGTGGCATCCGGCATTCGAGCGTATCAGGAACCGGTCGTAGCTAAGCGTTACATGGACTATGGGGTGCAGATTCAGATTTTCCACTCCCAGGACAAGGAACAGGTACCACCGCATCCGATGGCAATTGAAGATCTACTGGCTGCCTACTTTGTGCTGGGAGCTGGACTTTTGTTGGGAGCTGTGGCTTTTTTGATGGAACATTTGGGGCATCGGTATTGGCATAGGAAGAAACCAACTTGCAAGACATTGAGCTGGAATGTTTTGAAATGAAAGAACATGTGAAGTTTTTTGGTAGTATATTAGCAATTACTCTGTTCCAGTTGCTAGAAAGTGTGCATTCAAATAGAGTCAACTTTCGCTCGTTGGGCTAAACCCGTAGTCCATTTAGTAAAAGGCTTTCGTTAGTTGGCTGATCTGTCAAGCTTCAAACTTGGTTTAGGGATATATCGATTATTTATTATCATCAAAATCAAATTTATTATCATCAAAAATTGGGCTGTAGCCCTTCCAAATCGACGTTTGATTTCGATTTGGAAGGGCTACAGCCCAACTAAAACGTAACCCAATTAAACATAGCCCAACGCGAGGGGGCGACTCTATCTATGTACGATGCAGGAAAAATTGTGTTTTGCTGTGGTTAGTTGCACGCACGCTGAGTAGATAGAAAGAAGATTGATGACAATTCTGAAGATTTCCTGCACAAATATGAAGCGCGATGCAAGTAGATGAGAGAAATGATAGAAGATTTTTCGAAGATTTATTCGCTAGTGTGAGATTTGTATAGCATCTAGAATTGAGATTTAGATGTGTCGCCCCCCTCGGCCCAACGAGCAAAATTCGACGGTATGCGCTTTCATCCGAAAATGTTCATGGCACGCTGTAGATTTCCATACAACCGTTGATCGTTATTCTCGGAGGCAAACACTTATTCCATTCGGTAGATCATTTTAGAGGGATGGGAGCTAGGATTTATGCACATTTGATATTTGAGTCTCGTTCTCTTCAACGAGCTTAGGTACCTTATATTTATACCTGCTAACCTATCAAAATTCTCTAACTAATGAGATTCCGTTTACATACGGACTATCAAGCTTCACGCTCACTCGATTCTACTCATTATTTATCCAACACTAATTCTATCTACTAAAATGGCAAACAACTTTAGAAATCAAAGTGCACCTGAAATCATAAATCTTTATATTGCAGAACTATGACATACAAGTGTCTTTCAGCTAAAACTTATTTAAGGTATCTTAACATTAGTTTATCTTTACCTGTGCTGAATTAAAAGTCTTCAAAATAGCAAACGTTGTAATTGAATACATGGAATATCAATAGAATGGATTAAACTCCATATATGCAACATATAGTTCTACACAGCAAAAAATAAATTTTAATATTACATCCAAGAGAATGCACTTCAATCATGTTGAAAATCTCATGTAATTTTTACAACCACAAAAATCAACAAATGCAGTGAAATGCAGTCACAATTAAAGACACACGCATAATTCCAGTTGGAACATAAAAATAAAATTCGGAATTTGTTATATTAATCTGAACAATTTTTCTAATGACAGCTACCTTCTATGTAGCAGAGCAGTCAAGTTAAAGCAAGCAATCAGAAGTCAAATGGTACATAAGCGCTGAAAGTTTTTAGGATTCTGTGCTGAACTGTCCATAATTAAATAACTTTACGAAAGACAGCTTCCTATAACATCCTATCTAGTCGAAACACTGTAAACTAAACTGAATAAGATTCCAAAGGGGCGACTCCTAAGAGGAAGAGGAGACAACTGGTTTCTTACTCTTTTATCTCTATCTCTATCTCTATCTTTATCTATCACTATATCTATCTTACGCACTACAAATCAGTCAATCACGAGCTGGTTCGCGTTTGACAGAAAAGTGGTTCGTTTTCGCTCCCGTATTGTCTTCTCTTCTCTTGGGGCGGCTCTATCTATTATGCTGGAAAAATTGGTTCAATTTGACAGCTCGAAAATGGTTCAATTTTGGGGTCTGTCTTTGCAATCATCCAAAATACCCTAATAATAAATTAAAATAAACGAACGATAACCAAAATTATTGAACAATTCCAAAAATTGTTTGGATGATACCCGAAATATGTCGTTAAGCAAATTAATCATAACATTTTTATTAGAGAAGCTCTTCACATTATTGAAAAGTTACGTATATTTCAGTTCCCTGATACCGACACATGTAAGCGGGCCTTTTGACATAAGAATCAGTTGAAAGAAACGTGAAAATCAATTCAATCAAACGTTCTCATCGTCTAATAGCTGATGTTTCGGTTTGAGAATACTTAAATTTACATGAAATGTTTGTTTACGTTCTATGATTTACGTCCAATATGGATTACATCTCCTATAAAAGTAGTTATTTCTAAGTATATTGTCCATCCGAATAACTTCACTCAACACATAAACCTGCACTCTGGTCGTACTGTTAAGTTAAAACGTGGAATTCGATGCATATTGCACACTGACATTGACCATTTAATAGTCCTTATGCATTTGAATCACTTTTTTTTTTACTAGATGGCAAGTTACACTGAAAAAGAATCTTTTCAGAGAGTGAGTCACTTTTACTCAATCGTAAGGAGAAATTTCTAAAAGCGTAGATTACTCAAGCACTGGGTGACCTATGCTTTTAGAAATTACTCGATACGCACGAGTAAAAGTGACTCAAAACTGAATAAAAATCACTCACTCTGTGAGCTAGTTTCGTTTTTTTTTTATGTAAAACGCAATAAATCTGGAGCAACAATAGTGAAGGGCCCATCAGCATTTGTAAGCAAACCGTTCTAAAGCCCTTTCCTCCCAAATCGAAGGTCGCCGATGCAAACCAACAGTACCATCGATGATGCTGTTGGTTTGCATGGGCGGCCTTTGCTTTGTGAGGAAAGGGCTTTAGAGAGGTTTGTTTACAAATGCTGAAGGGCCTTTTTTCGATTGTTACTCCTTTTTAGCTACACGGTATGAAAAAAAGTTCCCAGCGGCCAGTTCACTTTTACCTACTTTCGACTAGTTAGTCTCCTTTTCTCCTTCTAATGTTGTCAAAAACGAATAAGGAGCAAAACCACCCAACAGGGGTAGTAAAGTGTGGGAACCCAAGGTTGAGTATAACATGTTTACTTATTTTTAGATACTACTAACTTAATTTTGCGTAGAAAGCGAGTGGAAAATTCCATACGAATTGCACACAAGTAAATGAAAACTACTTTGACCCGCTTTACCTACTTTTGGGTTCCTGCACTATAGTGCCGAGATGAGTGAAAAGAACTTACTTTTTGGTACTTTTTTCTTACCGTGTACGTAGTGCGGAGTCACTCAAAATGTTTGTAACAAAAATCCAACTGGTGCTGTCTAGAGTCGGTGTATAATGAGTCACGCCAAGAGAAAAACAGTTGAACTCGCATCACGGTTTTCGAAAGATTCCCTTTCATTTAACTTGGCAACAGAGGACTTCTACATCAACTTCAAATGACTTCTAGCGAGAAAAAATAATAACGGCTGTAGTAAATCATTATATCAGTGATTTTGTCAAATTATCTTAACAAAAAATATTAGAAATTCTCATTACCGATCATTACCAAACGTATCCCATGACAATTGAATGCTCTCTGCGTGTTTATTATCATTTCTTCGATTATATTTTATATTTTATTGCAATACCTTTCATAGCATCATAATGTTTGTTTACTTTGCACGATAGGCAGCTGGTTTGACAGTTCAATAGGTAGACTTGGCTTCACTCTTGGCGTGACTCATTATACACCGACTCTAGTGCTGTCAAAGACAACCAACGATCAGGACGGCTTACGTCCTTTAAACAGAATCTTTTTTTTTGTGTTTAAAGAGTGAAAGATTCAGCGTTCAGTGAAACTGGTCTGGACTAGTAACTAGCGCCCAAATTTACACAGGTCACGTTTTTCTAAACTTGTGCAACAACTTTTGGTTGCAAACTTCAGAATCTCAAGGTCGATTCCACACAGATAAAAATTCTGAATTTAATTTGCGATGTAAACATTCATTCACGTAGACTTATATTTCATTTCACGCAACCGAGCAACTTGCAAACAATGTTGTTTACAAAGATGGGCTTTTGTATACAATATTTGCTATTTGCATGAAATGTGTCAGAACTTTACATAATATATAATGTAATCGTATATGATATGTGACGCTCCATTTATGTGCATTATATTGAACATAAATTTACACTACTTTCTCGAACTGTGCAAGGAAAACTCGCTATGAGAGGATTTCATGTAGGTTTTATAAAAAAAAACGTAAAATAGGAATACATTCAAAAAGTATTTTATTTTTAGAAAAAATGCTGAGAAACTGATCCGTAAGTTGTGCCAGGAAGCAGCTCAGTCCATATAGAGATGTACAATGTGTTACTTCCCGGATTGGAGATGACAACATGCTAGCTATTGCACCTTCGGTAAAATCGCTTAATAAACAGATTTATTATCAATATGTTAGAAATTATAAAATTTGATCTTTTAATAATTTAATTTAATTTAATAATTTCCTGTCAAAATGTAAAATTTACAAAACTGAGAAACTTTCACTCAGTTGAGCTTGTATTGCAAAAACCGGAACTGAGAAAATGCTACTCAGATTTTGACAAATGCATACATTACTGAAAAGTGAGTAAACTTGTGGTTTCTCACTTTCGGGTAGTTCCACTTTTAACGAAAGTCTGTGGAATTTTACTCACTTCATTTTGAACGAGCGTGATATTATTTTGTAGGCAGCGTCTCGTAGTTATTTTCTAAATGTTTGCAAAATATATCAATTCAAATAATTGTTCAACATTGATTTGTTCCCCGACTGGACAATGCACAACGACTGATAGTTTCAATGAAAAAAAAATGAAATTGCATGGCATGAAGCCGACAGTATGATTCACAGACTGTGCATGATGTTTCTCTTGATGCAAAATTCATGGATCGAAATCGATACTTTCAGTTCTTTAACGGAAAACTGATGGAGGTCAGGTATTTTTTTTTGCAATATCATTAAATTTTTAAAGAATGTACTCGGGAAAATTATGAGTTCTGTCAAAACCAATAAATCATTACTCAGTAACTAAAACGCAAACTCATGCTCTTATGCTCATTTAAGCAAATCGCTGTTATTACGCAGTGCAACGAACGATGGCTAACTCACTATTCAGGTCATTGTTGTAGATAATGATGGTTCCGGGAAACTTGAGCAGATTGTTCAACAGAACATCGTCCTCCAATTGCGTCATCGCGGAAATGCTGGTGGTTCAATTTTTCTCCTTACGAGATTTTCAAATTTTACTTTCCAACTAAATTGAGTCGATGGCGATCACTCAGGTTTTGTACAATTATACCACCTCTGTATTTAACGGCTATTGCCTGTCACTTTATTCCAAATAGATTTTTTAGCACACGTATTGCGTTATATTCGAATCAAATCACTGATGACACCTGATCAATTATTCCATTGCGGACACGGTGGGTGTCGTTCGTTATTCACATTTCCAGAACTTTTACTCTTCTGTTGAGCAATGAATTTCAATCTTTTCACTTTTTTCCGTTACTTTGAACATCTTCCAATCATTACAATCACAATCTCTTCTCAAAATCAGTAAACTTCTCAGAACACTGTTTGGAAAATTTTCACCCAACTGACCAGCGTCCATGGGTGGCCATCTTTTGCTCCAAGTTGCTTCGAGTAAAAGCGGATCCTTTTTTTTTATTCCAGGACGCCTGCTCTCAACAAAGGCGATGACGATGGCGACGGCGACACCGTTTTCTCGGACACTCGCGGGCTGGACAAAGGTCCTCTCTCTCTCTATTCTCTGCGGGATATTCAGGTTGCTCGAGGCTCTCCGACCAGGAGCCGGCGCATTGAGTCCGTCCAATTAGGAGAATGGGCTCTCCAGGTCGCGGCGATAGGCTTCTGGTAGAGCAGTTGACCAATCCTTGGCACTTCGTTCGGTTTTTAGGATATGCGAGTGCTCTTGTGGAGAGGCGCAAGGGTTGTGTGTAGAGTTTTCGTGACCGGTCGCTTTGGTCGGTGGTGGCGGCGCCGTCGTTGGTTGTAGTCGTGCGAATTGATGGGGGTGACAACACGTTGCCGCTGAAAACGACGACGACGTGTACGCGTGCACAGGTAAATGAACAAATAAAGAAAGGTTGGTAAAAAAAAGGATAATAGACGTTGCGTTGGCTGGCAAAGGGACCTTCGGAACACGTGAAGCGTGAAGAGGAAGTGCTCCTTGTACATAAGCGAGGGTATAGCTTGTCGGACCGTATGACGTCAGTGAAGTTCGGGTTGTTTTCTCGAATGGGAAATGCCAGTTGGTGAGCGAATCGTGGGTTTTTAGATGTTTCATATTTTGCGTATTATATTCGTTGTGCTTTAATGGGACTGTGTAGAACTGCGATAGTTTTTCTACAGACAAATAAATCACTCTGAAAGCAGGTAATAAAATGGGCTTATTTGATTCTGATCTCTCACAAATTTCTTAAGTAACAATTAATATCAGTATTAACGTAGATCCGTGACAACGGCGTGAGAAGGATCATTACGACTCAGCTTCGACTTTGTAGCCAATTGGGCCATGCTGACTTCGGTTCTGATCACCTTCCAGTAACTTTTGAAGCAAGAGCTGCTTCAGTACCGAAATGCGAGGTTAAATTCGATTCAATTATAATAGACGACGATCTTCAGCTCTTGATTCGTCTGAAAAATGTCCGCAGGAGGTAATATCAAAGAGCACGCGATCCTGCCATGAAAGTTATCTGGCGAGATTTAAAAAAAAAACAAATTAAAAAGCGATTATCTGCCCTGAGGAACAACACTTTTGATAATAATGTTAAGCAATTAGACCCGAGTTCCAAACCCTTATGGAAACTCACAAAAATTTTGAGTATAAAAAACCTTAAAAGCTATTGCAGAGAAGGTGGTAAACTTTTGATAACAAATTCGGAAAAACCTTAGAAACTTGCTAAGCAATTCGGGAGTTCCCATAATTTCAGATTTGGGTCTTACTAATCCTATAGAGAATCAGGTTGCTCGGGAGTATCTGAATATTTTCTATCAGGACTGATTCAAAATATGAAAGCTGCAGGCAGGCATGTCTAAACGCAACATTACACTGCGTACTGCCTTTTTTACACACCACCAAGAGCATTGAGTTTTACGCTCCGTACCAGTGCTCGATATAAAACACCAAACGCATCGAGCAAGGCACCGGTACAATTATTTGCACGCGTGTATGGATGCTTCGGCAAACACCAAAGCCGAGTGTTTTCGATTTCGGAAAACACGCTTGCTGCTCCTATAATTAGTATACGTATATAGGAATTTTCTTTGGGCGACTTATGAAACATTATCGTCTTACAGTAGGTAGCTCTTATAGCTAATAGACGAGTGGTCTAAGCATTTGTCTCATAATGTCAATGTATGCCGGCGCCGGTGGTGTAGTGGTAAGCGTGACTGCTTTCTCACACCCCAATGGGTCTGGGTTCAATCCCAGCCGAGGTCGGTGGGATTTTTCTGAGGCATAAAAATCTCTGGTCACGTCTTCCTTCGGAAGGGAAGTAAAGCCGTTGGTCCCGGCCCATGTGTGTTTGAATGGGTGCGATATCCTACGCAGGTGTGGAAGCTGCCTTCCTGCACATTCGATTGCCGTCAATGGATTGCAATCGATGTCCGTCGGTGATTGGCACTAGATTGCGGAACAGAGACCGACGTTAAATAAAATAAAATAAAAAAATAATGTCAATGTCCATGGTTCGATTCCAGCCTTAATCCTCTATTTATATTTTTGTCAACATTATTTTCTTAAGGTAAATCTATGAAATGCATTTCGATTTCTTTTGGCTAAAAAGCATTACGCAATCTTATGAATCTTATGAGCTCAAGGGATCATCTACCAGGATTATAAAAAATACGCAAATCACCTACGTCGGAAGAGCGTATTCCAGTTGCCGTCCAACCACTACTGGTAATTCTTGGTTTTATACACAGCAAAAAAATAATTTTGAAATCACATCAAAGTGGATGCACTACAATTATGTCGAAAATTTCATGTAATTTTTATGACCACATAAATAAACAAATGCAGTAAAAGCAGCGTAATGTCAGTTCATGCATTGTATTAATGATAATTTTGTCCTTTTTAGCAAGTAATATTACACCATATTTTCGACATGATTGTAGTGCATCCACTTTGACGTGATATCAAAATTATTTTTTTGCTGTGTATTGACTAATTGAGCTGATTGTTTTCACACGATTAGAATAAATCTAATAATGATAACTCATATCCAACAACAAAAAAAAGGTACCATGGCTAAAACGGAGCAAGTTGAAGGTAGAATGCGAACATTCGTTGATTTTATTTAGGGGAAAACAGCCCAAGATGCACCCCACGCAAAACGCCCGATGCGATTTTTCATAGCATTCCCGTACTACGTCTGTGATTTCTATATGGGGATACACTTTGTGAAACCCGAAAATGGAATATGTAATAAAATTATGAAAGATTTTGAACATTCATAACTCAGCTGCCCCTGGACCAATTTCAATAATTTTATCACCAATCGATCATGCATCAATATCAATGCTTCCGACTAATGATTTTCATCAAGAAACTATGTGGTAAGGTTAAGCATTGTCCAATGTACAAATAAAAAGTGATAATTTTATCACTGTTTTCATGAAACAAACGCTCTTCCCAAACCCAGTCGTCATAATCGAGTACCACTTGGTTGCACATCCTTCCGCTTTAACCTGAAAAGATATAAAAGAGCACTGCTCTTTAGCCTCAACTAATTTTCGCTTCACCACGCCAGCAGGCAGCAGTAGGAAGGTGGTGGCAGGTTAGGTAATCCACTCTTCTATCCAACAAGCAAAAATGACTGGTCGTGGCAAAGCAGGAAAAGGTCATATCGCCAAGCGTAAGCGGCCATGGATGTCGTCTACGCTTTGAAGCGACAGACGCACTCTGTACGGTTTCGGAGATTAAATCATCACCAACTTTGGCAACAAAACGGCCCTTTTAATGGCCAACAAGCTTATTGCAGCAAAGAGTTGGAATAGAATTTATCTGTGCCTTTTTTCCATATTCAGAACCACACGCCCCCAACGACTACACAAAATGCTCTCCAGAGTTGTAATTTTGTAACCAAACTTGGAAGCTTGTCATTTGCGAACACTAGTGCACCTAGCGGTAGAAGGCATCTTCTGCATGCAGTTAAGATATGCAGCATGCTATGATAGTGCGAGTGCACATAGAAAGCCCATGTGGAACGCTACCACAACACATTGCACATTGCATTGCGAACCACTTTTTGATTCATCGATTTGTTTGCACTTCCCCTTATGTTCTGTAAAGCTAGCTTACCGGCGTGTGCAAAAAGAAAGGCAATCAAAATTTCATTTCGTGATTGTTTCCCAAACACAGACATCATATTGAAACACCATCGTGATTATGCATTGTAGCATTCTTTGTAAATTACAATTGGTACAGAAAGTGCTTCAGTGTTTACACTCCGCGTTGGATAGAGCCAATATTCGAAGTGAAACAAGTGTTTATTGAGAAATTCTGTAAAAATCTTCAAAATGTCACAACACATGGCTGCTGAATATCTCCGCGATTATCGGAAGCGCGTGAGCGACCATGAGGCAGGGAAACCTGCGAAACAGACGCGGACCATTGCTGAATGCGTTCGAATGTGTCGAGCCAACAAGAAAGCGGCCAAAGGTAATCCTAATTTTAGGATTTATTCAATAACTGCCCATTTTCAAAAAATTGAATAATGAATTGTTCATTTTGGAGTTAAGTTTCTAAACCATTATTAATATATATTTTTTTTTGTTGGGGGGAGTTGAACCACTGCGTCCATTATTTGAACTTTTGTGGTACATATATATTAGTGAATGGAGCATAAAAAAAAAATCTCGTAGTTCTACGTCAACAATGCGGTCGTGCTTTGGACACAACCCCTAACTTTTTAATTCATAAATTTGACAAGTCACAGTGCTAGTTTACAACTTGAACTAGCATTTCGACACAATTAAAGTGGAATAGGTACACGGATAGAAATCTCCTTATACCTTTTGGCAAATTTCTATTGCTGATTATTCATAAAATGTATAAGTCAACTAATAAGCAGACGCCTTGCAAAAAGTTTATGAAGATCATGTGTCAAATAAAATGTATAAGCGGTTACACATACCTTTTATGCATTCTTATAGGACCTATATGGTTTGTCTTATGGAATGTATAAGGCTGATGTTTGGCAAAAATGTATAAGTGAAACACATGAATAAAATAATTGATTTTCGTTTCGTGTATGAAAAATCAAATCGGGCACTTTGTCCGGGGTGCATTTTGGGGTGTTTTCCCCCTGTTCTACCATACATAAATGGTGAGTAAAGGGCGAACACGAAATTATTGCGACACATTCAACAGGGCATAACTTTTTTACCATTGGGTAAAAATCAACCAAATTTTGCACACTTTCTCATTGATGTGTATTGTGTACATGCTGTCAAACTCGAAGTCGTGTTTTTCGATTCAACGAAAATGGAGGTGAACCAACGCGAGTTGAGAGAACAAATTCTTTCCAAACACCTGGAATTTCCTGACCTGTCGCACCGGCAGTTGGGAAAAATGTTGAACATTCACCATTCAACCGTCTCCAGAGTGTTGAAGCGGTTCCAGGAGCGGTTGACGTTGGACCACGGCAAAGGAGCTGGAAGAAAACCGGGACTGGAGAACAAAAAGACGGAGGGAAAGGTGAAGCGGATGATTAAAGCAAATCCCAACGTCTCAAGCCGTGATTTGGCTAAAAAGATCGGCATGTCGCAGAGCTACGTCCAGAATGCAAAGAAGAGAGCTGGACTACATACATACAAGGTACAGAACTTCCCAAATCGCGATGAGCGGCAACAATCGACGGCTAAAACTCGGGCACGGAAGCTCTACGAGAAGATGCTGACAAAATATGGCTGCTGTGTGATGGACGACGAAACGTATATAAAAGCCGATTTTAAGCAAATTCCGGGGTTGGAGTTTTTCACCGGCAAGAGCAAGTTCGATGTGGACGACAAATTTAAGAAGAAGAAAATGTCGAAGTTCGCCTCCAAATATCTCATTTGGCAGGCCATCT